CCAGGGCAGGTGAGCGGGGTCCTGCGGGCCGGGCGCGGGCACACACACACACACACACACACACACACACGCGTGGGGTTGGCACCACGGTGCGCTCGCCCGGGCCGGCCGCGGCGTTGCACTGTGCAGCGGCGCCTGCACCAAAGTGTGCGCGTGTGCAGGTGCGGGTGTGTTCGCGTGTGAGCCTCTGTCATCCTGCCTCTGCATGTGCCTGGGGGTGGGTTGTCGTTTGCGCCTGCGTGTGGGGGGTCGGCGTGCGCGTGCAGGTCTGTGTGCACGTGTGCTTGTGTGTGCAGGCGTGCATAAATGTGTGCGCATACATAGATGTGTGCGCGTGCATATGTATACGTGCGTATGTGTGTGTGCGCATGCATATGTGTGTGTGGGTGTGTGTGCGCGTGCATATGTGTGTGTGTGCATATGTGTGTGCACGCGTATGTGTGCACGTGCATATATATGTGTGCATGTATGTGTGCGCGTGCATATGTGTGCGCGTGCACATATGTGCATATATGTGTGCATGCATATATGTGTGCGTGTGCGTGCATATGTGTGCATGCGCATATATGTGTGCGCGTGCATATGTATGTGTGCACGTGCATATATGTCCATATATGCGTGCGTGTATGTGCGTGAGTATGTGTGTGCGTGTATGTGACTGCATATGTGCGTGCGTGCATATGTATGTGTGCATATATGTGTGCGCGCGCATATGCGTGCACATGCATATGTATGTGTACATGTATGTGCGCACATACGTAAGTGTGCACATGCATATGTGTGTGTATATGTGTGCATGCATATGTGTGCGTGCGTATGTGTGTGCATATGTGCGCACGTGCATATGTGTGTGTGCATATATGTGCGCGCATATGTGTGTGTGTATATGTGCACGTGCATATGTACGTGTGCATATATGTGTGTGCATGCCAACATGCGTGCGCGTGCATATATGTGTGCTTGCCTATCCATACGTATTTATATGTGTTGGCACATAAGTGTTTGACTAGGCACATGTGTTCGCATTACGGGCGCGCGGGCAGTGGGTCCTGCCTGGGGATGCACAGCAGTAGAGAGCTTGTTGCTGAAGCTGGTGTGCCCCCCCTTCCAGGGTCACCCACTGCCAGGCCAGAGGGGCAGGGGATGTGGCTGCGTCTCTGGAGGCTGGTTGTGGCGTGGGGGGAGCAGTGCTCAGTGCCAGGCGATTGCCCGGCCAGAGGAGGCAGGTGCCTGCGGAGAGCCCCCTTTCTCTGCTGCCCTGCAAGTTGTGCCTGTGCTGGGGCTCCCGGGGAAGCAGAAGCGAGTGCTCCCCTAGTGCTGCTCCCCCTTCCCTTTGCAGAACTGCCAGCTCCTTTGGGTGGGAGGCTGATGTGCAAGTGTCCCTGGCATCGCCTGTGCGGGGGTTTCACGTGTGCCCGCTGCTGTGGCCTCTGGGGATGTCTCCTGCACCAATCGCCCACAGCGGGCCAGAGGGATCCAGCAGCCGCACCCCAGGGTCTGGTCTGGAGGAGGCCAGTCAATCCTTCTCTTTGTCCACAGGGGCCAGGTTTAGAAGTGACAGGCTGAGAACACGAGGGGAGAGGCTTAGGCTGGGGATCGGGAAGCCCTTTCCAGCCACAGTGGAGTGGCTAGGAAGGCCGTGGAGTCTCCATCCCTGGCCGTTTTCAAGAGCGAGTTAGGCAAACGTTTGGCTGGGCTGGTGTAGGTCCTGCCTCAGCCATGGTGGAGGATGAGTGCTCTGAAATCCTCTCCCTTTGGATGCTAAGGGGAAGCGTTGGGCTAGGAGCCGAGCATGGCACCGAGGGGCAGCAGCCTTCTGCATAAAGGGGGCTGAGTGCCCGTTGCGGGGTGCCCATCCAGCCTCCCAAGCTGTGCGGCTCATGCTTCTAAAGCACGCAGGTGTCTCCCCTGGGGTGGGTGTCTTGCAAGTTAGGCACGCGCTCAACTGCATTGCTGAATCGGGGCCTCTGGGTGTCTGTTACCCGTGGTAGCAGCGGTAGGATATTTCGAGGGGAAAAAACTTAATGCAGGTCCCCGTCTAGAGACGTCCTCATCCCTAAGCATTGCCCTGTCTCAGGACAGCAGTGGTCCCCCTGCTGCTGCCTGCAGTGAGGAGTGGTAGACAGCACCGGGATGCTCAGAGATGCTGAGCCCCCCCCACCACAAGTCCACCTGAAGCCGAGGGGAGCTGCCGAGTCTCGGCCCCTCTGGAAGCGGGGCTCCGTGGGTTACAGCACCCGCTGGCGGAGCTGAGTGGGAGGAAAACTCCTGGCGAGGAGGCCTTGCGGAGACTGGGGCTGGCCAGGAAGCTGGGATCTGTGCGGAGAAGAATGTGAGGTTTTGGGACAACACCAAACCCTTGTGAAACTCCTTGCAGAAAAGCTACAGCGAGACGCCCCACCCCAAAACAGGCCAGTCCGTGGTCGGCACTTGCTTGGGCTCCAAAATAATCTTTCAAAGCAGGGTGCCAGTGAAGCGTCTTGCCCGCTGGGCTCTCCACTGTTTTGCAGTGGGCTTGATCTGCCCCTGAAATCCCACCCCCACCTCCGGACCTGTGAAATCTTCCTGAACAACCAGCATAATCCAAGAGGGAAACATTGCATCAGGAAACTCCTGATCTGCTCTAGTCCAGGCACTCTCTGAAGTCACTTGCAACCGGGCGAGCTGTCCGTGTACGGATGACAACAGGTAATAACAGACCTGCCTTCCCCCTCTGATGTCCTGCAGGTATCTGCTGCCTGGGGCTCAAATGTTTGATGTCTCAGGTTGATGTCCTGACACCTGATTGATGAGGCGGAAGATTTTCACCCCAGCATTATGAAACCTTGGCAGGAAGCTGGTGGGGGGAACACGCAGGAGGGAGTACCCAGGCATGAGAGACGGAAAGCGGGGTGGGGGGGGGGAAAGTAGGGCATTAAGCAGGAAAAAAAATCCTATTAAACTCCCCGGCTGCTCTTCTTGCTGCATCCAGAATGCTAAAGATGGAGGGGCGGGGAAGGGGGTCAGTGCTGCAGTCTTTCCTGTGGATGCTTTGCCTTCTAGGTGACCACTTTAACACTGTATGCAACTGTGTGCATGTGGAGCAGATGCCGGTGTGTGTGTACTGCTGCGTTGTGCATGTGTAGCAGATGCCGGTGTGTGTACTGGTGGGTCATGCGTGCGTAGCAGATGCCGGTGTGTGTGTACTGGTGGGATGTGCATGTGGAGCAGATGCCGGTGTGTGTGTACTGCTGCGTTGTGCATGTGTAGCAGATGCCGGTGTGTGTACTGGTGGGTCATGCGTGCGTAGCAGATGCCGGTGTGTGTGTACTGGTGGGATGTGCATGTGGAGCAGATGCCGGTGTGTGTGTACTGCTGCGTTGTGCATGTGTAGCAGATGCCGGTGTGTGTACTGGTGGGTCATGCGTGCGTAGCAGATGCCGGTGTGTGTGTACTGGTGGGATGTGCATGTGGAGCAGATGCCGGTGTGTGTGTACTGCTGCGTTGTGCATGTGTAGCAGATGCCGGTGTGTGTACTGGTGGGTCATGCGTGCGTAGCAGATGCCGGTGTGTGTGTACTGGTGGGATGTGCATGGATAGCAGATGCCGCTGTGTGTGTACTGGTGGGTCGTGCATGCGTAGCAGATGCCGGTGTGTGTGTACTGGTGGTTTGTGCATGTGTTGCAGATGCCGGTGTGTGTGTACTGGTGGTTTGTGCATGCGTAGCAGATGCCGGTGTGTGTGTACTGGTGGTTTGTGCATGCGTAGCAGATGCCGGTGTGTGTGTACTGGTGGTTTGTGCATGCGTAGCAGATGCCGGTGTGTGTGTACTGGTGGGTCGTGCATGCGTAGCAGATGCCGGTGCATTCGTGTTACGCTGGCGGGAACCCCTGGCAGAACTGATTTTTTATCTGGTGGCCGGGAAGCGTTCCCACTTGCAGGTTTTATGGTTGTGCTTTCTGCCACTGGCTGTGGGTTAGTTCCCGAGCGTGCTGCCGGATGTGCTCGGCGCTCATTAGCATGGTAATCTCCCATGTGCGGCTGCTTTGTGCTGGAGTCAGCAGAAGCCGGCTGGCCCGGGGAACAGATTGCTCAGGCTGCAATGGCCTGGGCACAGGTGGTACCACTTGCTGGAAGTCCTGCTGCCTCCAGAGCCTCTTGGCCTCGGGCCTGCAAGGTCCAAGTAGGGGCCTGACCATATGCAAAGCCCAAGCAGGCTCCCGTCAGCTCCTCTGTGGGTTGTTCCCCGTAACACAGTGGCCAAGCGTGTGTCTGTCCTGGTCTGTGGCTAATCTCCCAGAGCCAGGCTGCTTGCTGCTATTCACAGCTGATAAGCCCTGCTCTGTTGTTCATGCGGTCGAGATCTGTGCTTTGCAGTGACCCCTCCTGAGTTCAGCCCTTGCTGATACCCCCTCCCAGCACCCTGGAAGAGGAGGAGATAGCCGTCCCTGAGCTAACGGCGGATCTCCAGTGCCTGTTAGCAGTACAGATCAACGACACAGAGTTGAGAAGTCCTAAGTACGTCTTGTAGAGGCAGCAGCATCTGAGGCACTTCTAAGGATTTCTTTGATTGACGTCTTTTATTGGACCAACTGCAGTGTTGGGATGGAGGGAGACAAGCTTTCAAATGCAAGACATTCTTCAGGACACCTAGACAAGCATTTGAAAGCTTGTCTCCCTCTATCCCAATTGGTCCAATTAAAGGTGTCGCCCAAAGAAATCCTGGTCTCTGCAGGTGAGGTTCTTTGGGTAGATGTGAGATCTTTTATTAGACCAACTAACTATTCAGTTCATCTAATAAAAGATCTCACATCTATCCAAAGAAACTCGGCTGCCTAGACCAACACGGCTACAACCAACACCCCTTGTCTCTGCAGTAATTCCTGGGCCGTGACGGCTACAACATCACTCTAACGCTACCATGCATGTATGCAACCTGTATGTTCTCCAGCTGTTCGCATCTTTATGTGCATGATTGCATGTTGGGCTGGGAAGGCAATGAAGGCTTCCTGCCTAGGCTGGGCCTTGATTGAAACACGGGATGTCATTCTGGTTTCTTTGGCGGCCGAGCCGGGAGGATGAACGCGAGCACGATTGCGAGCGCCGGGCTGTGCCGCTGTTAAGGCAGCTCTTGCTTGCCTGGCTACTATCACGGGCCATTTCAGCAAATGTTCATGAAGTCAAGCTCCACCCCAGAGCTTGCAGTCGGTGTTGTAGTCTCCCACTCTGCTTGCTTTCCCCTGCCTTTCTATTCTGGCGTCCCTTTGCCAGGTAGCTGCTGCCCTGTGCCCCACATGGTTTAACTTGTGCCTGGCTTGATACTTAGACACGTGTTCCTCCAACTTTCTGGATCTATTTAAGATATATGTATCTACATTACAGGAAGCGCCGGATTGCTTCAGGCTGGGTCTGTGGGGCTGGGAAAGGGGTAGTCCTGGCAGTCTGGCCTCAATAGTCTATGAGGCTTTTGTGCAAGGCATTGGGGGGATTGTTAAAGACATGCAGGTCCACGGAAAATGAGGCAAAAATGCTGCAAGGTGCATCATGCCAGACTAAAAGAATTGCTTTTTCCAGACAAAGGGAATGTAGACCTTCTCTCTCAGGACTTCAGCGAAGCATTTGATGCTGGCTTGCATGGGAAATGATTGTTAAACTGGAGAACATCAGGGTTAGCAGAGCTGTCAGGTGGGTAGGAAGCATTTTCAGGGGAGAGGGCAGTATCAGTTCAGAGGGCCAGAATATAATGCGAGACAAGTCGGACCTCGAAGAGTGTAGCAATAGGTATGGGGTGAGATTGTCAGACAAAGTGCAATATCCTCCACTGAAGGTCTAATAACAAGAAAGACTGCTATCACCTGGAACCCAGCAATTGCTCAGGGCAGGAGAGAGATCTTGGTGCATTAGCTGATCACTGGATGACTCAAGTTGCTGTATGATGCAGGCACGAGAAAAAATGCAAGCCTGTGTTTATCTGCTCTGTCAGGCCAGGTGTTCTCAGTGGAGACAGAGAAGTATTAGCAAAGCCTTGGTGAAACCTTGCTTGGAATATCGGTTACACTTTAATCACCCATGTTCAAGAAGGATGAATGCAAACTGGGCCGGGTGCAGAGAAGGGCTGCTAAGATGATCGGGGGAGCGGAGTCTCTTCTGCAAGAGGGGCTAAAAGAGTTGGTCGAATGAAGGGATCTGATTGCATTCAATAAATACATCAGGCTGAGCACTAGGGAGGGAGGGGAACTATTGAAGCTGAAGGGCAGTGTTGGCACAGAAACCAAGGGGTGTAAACCAGGTGTGGATACAGTTAGGCTGGAAAGTAGGAGGAAGTTTCTAAGCATCAAAGGGAGCTTCTGGAGCAGCTTTCCACAAAGAGGAATGGGGATGAAAAATATCCCCAAACCAAACTGGTTTTAAAGTGGGCTTTGATCTGTGTATGAGAAGGATGGTAGGATGTGGTCACCCGATAGCCAGGGCCTGGACGTGCCTTCCCCTTCCCCTTCCCGTGATAATTCCCCCTACCAGGCTCAAGTACTTGTTGTTAGAGGAGCTGTGTCTCCCATCACGTTAGCTGGCCCAAGGCCGGCTGCAGCTAGTGTCACAGAAACATAATGCCCCTCGTGAGTCCTGGGGACCCTCGCCACCCCCCCAGATTCACTTTGCACATTGATTAAAGCCCTCTTAAGGAAACTACAGTCAATCCCCTAGCCCAGCGGTTCCCAAACTTGACAGATTGTGCACCGCCTATTTAAAATGATACAACCTTAAATGCCACCAGCACATTTTTGTCATACAAAGTAATTATAATAGCTCTGTTAACGCGTGCCACTGACAGGTTGTGTGGGTACCACTGGTGGGACGTGTGCCACGGCTTGGGAACAATTGCCCTAGACGGTTAAGGACAAAGCCTAACCTCCGCGGTGTGAATGGAAAGGTTCCCCTGGTGTCAGGACTTGGGATCAGGCTATAAGATGTTCACATTGTGTTCAGGCCAGATGAATTTGAGACGGTACATGTAACCTTAACTCTGCCCGTCTGCACATAGTCCTTACTCTACAGTCCCTGCTCACGTGCTGTTCTTTCCCAAGGACCGCTTTTCTTCGTTCAGCGAGCATTGCCTACACTGCCCTTGCAACAAGGATGCTGCCACACGTGATTGTGCGCTAAGGATTGATTTTTTTTTTCCAGGGTCCAACCCACCAAGTCTGGCAGGAAGATAGTTGGAATCTCCTTTTCGCTTCCCAAAATTGGGTGGGGGTGATGCTGTGCTGTCCGCATGGCGGGGCTTTGAATCCGTAGGCAAGGACCAAAACACCCTCGATGGTAGCCCTGGTGTCCAGGCGTAGCCTTGGGTGACGCTCCTAGGTGTTTGCTGGGGGAGCGCAAAGGGCAGCAGGGAGCCTGCTCCCATGGGGGAGCTATTCTTGTTATCCAGAGGCAAACTGCTGCCTGTTGATTGCCTACAGCAGCGATTCTCAACCAGGGTGCTATAGCACCCTGGGGTGCCGCAAGATCCTATTAAGGGTACAGCGGGGTGCTGCTGTTAAGCATGCAGATACCTACAGGGGTGTAGGTTTTAGCCATGCTGGTCTAAGGACAAGGTTTGGGTAAATCTGATACGTTTTATTAGAGCAACTCAAATACCTACAGATGATTTACCCTGCTTTCTGATTGACTTCAGACTACCACTGCCTCCCACAAGATGCACCACCCAG